ATTGAGATGGCACTGCACGATTCATGAGCATCATGTTCTGGCCACTCTATCAAACCAGCATGTTTCACCAGATATCCAAATTTGTCTTCATATGCCATCTGTAAGCAAAAATCTCTGATAACATCATGCAATTTCACCTCGTCTTCCTCCTTACCTAGTTGCAATAAATAACAACTTTTTAGATTATCCGCAATTGTCTTTGCTCGGTCTCGAGTTTCACAGAGTGTCTCGGTTTCTTTAAACAACTCTAGTCCCCTTGCATATCTAACCAAAGTTTCAATTGGAATACTTTGATCTTCAGCGAATAGAGAACAAAGTAAAAGCAAGTCCCGCTCTTCATTACTTACCAAATAGTCGTAGCTCAATCTTATACTTTTGTACACGATATTGTCCATTCCTTCCAGATTGGTAGCACTAGACCTCTGTAGATGTCGAAGTGCATCTCTCCATTTATGTGCGGCCTTGTTGTTTTTCAGTGCTTTGCCAACAACTACTAGTGCAAGAGGTAGACGTCCACATTCATATGCAACTTCTTTGGCTATGCTTACGAGTTCGGCATCAGTTTCATCATCAGAAATCCCTGCCGTATCCTTGAAAAGTTGCCATCCTTCTTTTTCATCCAAAACTTTGATTTCGAATTTCCTTTGGGCTTCCATTTTACTACACGTTTCTTCAATTCGCGTTGTAAACATAATTTTCAACCCTTTGCGATCATGTGGAGATGGAATTCCTATAGTTCCCCAATCAATTTCTTTCCACACATCGTCTAATACTACAAGAATGCTCTTACCATCTTTGCCTTCAAGTCTTTGATGAAGTCGTCTGACTCTCACTTCATTTGTCTTTTCTTCAATTCTTAGACCAAGCATTTCCGCAAGTTGGTCCTGAATTTTGTTTATGTCTGGATCGTTAGATACAACTGCAAATGCAACCTCCTCAAATAATTTCTCATCTTTGACTTCATTGACTATTTCCTTTGCCATTGTTGTCTTACCAACTCCAGGCATGCCACA